GACGTGGACTGCGTCTGCTTCACAAAGGGCCCCGGCATGGGCGCGCCTTTAACCAGCGTCGCCGTCGCCGCCCGCACCTTGGCCCTGCTGTGGGACAAGCCCCTCGTCGGCGTCAACCACTGCGTCGGCCACATCGAGATGGGTCGCACCATCACCGGCGCGCAGAACCCCGTCGTGCTGTACGTCAGCGGCGGCAACAGCCAGGTTATCGCCTACGCCGAGCAGCGGTACCGCATCTTTGGCGAGACGCTCGACATCGCCGTCGGCAACTGCCTCGATCGCTTTGCGCGCACACTCGAGATCAGCAACGACCCGGCGCCGGGATATAATATCGAGCAGCTGGCCAAGAAGGGGACGCGGTTACTGGAGCTGCCGTACGCCGTCAAGGGCATGGATTGCTCCTTCTCGGGCATCCTCGCCTATGCGGATATTCTCGCAGGCCAGATGAAGGCGGCGCAGGCCAAGGGGGAGGAGACGTTCACGCCGGCTGATTTGTGCTTTTCGCTGCAGGAGACAGTGTTTGCCATGTTGGTCGAGATCACGGAGCGGGCCATGGCACACGTTGGCAGCAATCAGGTATTGATTGTGGGAGGTGTCGGCTGCAATGAGAGGCTACAAGAGATGATGGGTGGGATGGCTGCGGAGAGAGGCGGCAGTGTCTATGCGACGGACGAGCGCTTCTGCATCGACAACGGCATCATGATTGCTCATGCTGGCCTATTGGCCTACGAGACCGGCTTCAGGACGTCCCTCGAGGACAGTTCATGCACACAAAGATTTAGAACAGACGAGGTATTCGTCAAATGGAGAGACTAATGCCGTTGGCCAATGCGGCACAAGCTGGCTGTTATTCATTTCTTTTGTTCACTTCTTTTGCCTCTTTTCACAAGGCAATCACTCTAAGCTCCGTGACGATTATCCACTTAGCGCGCAGGTACGCTACTCCATGCTCAGTTTCCTCGGTATGATCCCCAAGCCTCCAATCACTCGTCTGTTGTGGTGGGCTTGTATATGATCGTCGTAACATACTATTCGACTTGTTAGTCGCGGGCCAAGTGGAGTGCCGTAGCAGATGACATACCTTGTTCTTGTAACGCGTGGTTGCAGACACAGCCAGAATGTTGTTCTTAATACTGCTGGTAGCAAGATGGTTGAGAACAGTATGGTTGGGCATGTTGAGCACACTGTTGTCGTCCTTCATAAGAACTGCGGCGTTCAAGATGGGCTTACCCAAGAACCCTGGCAAGCTCGGAGGTGTCGGCAACTTTTCAATAGCTGTAACCGCATACTGGTAAGCTGGCGAGTCTTCGGGCTGGTCGAAATCTACCAAGTACTTGGGGATCTGGTGGAAGTATTGACTGGGCGAGGGCACTTCTTTGCCCCTGGGCGCCTTGGGCTGCTCATCAGTTTGCGATGCCGAGGTCTTCGGGCCGCCCTTGTCAATGGTAGCTGCTGTAGCCACACCGTCCTTTCCAGGCTCAACGGGTGCTGTTGCCGGGATGTCATCTGCGCTCACTTCGATGAAGTTGACCAGGTTGTTTCCAAAATCAACGGTTGTTGGCAGGTCGGGTGAAGTCTGCATGATTCCGTCCACCAAGAACCTAACATGGTGTGTTCCCGGAAGAATGTGAATCGTGGCTGCAAACACGCCAGACTGGCCATCGCTTTTGAACACGCATTGTCAGCTCAGTGTTCATGGGAGCATCGGCTTGTGATATGGCACGTAGGGCTTGATGTAAATAAGGCAGCCAAGGGGCTAGCATCTTAGACCACTGGAGAGTCACAGGTGTAACGCCGACAGCCGAGACTCAAGCCCACACACGCACAAGATTGAAACTTACACAGGATGTAATCTATGTTTGCGGTTCCATTGGAAGATGGTTCCTGTGACGTAGACCTTGCCTCCTCCCTTGCGCCATTCGAGGCGAGTGGGAACCGTTGGCCGCGTCTTATCGACAATCAACTCTTCGCCATCTTCCTCTTCGACTGTATTTGTGCTCAAGGCCGAGGACTTCCTAGTCATGCCATCCTCGAGGGTTTCCACTTCGGCCACGCCAGCGTCGTTGGCGTCGGTCGGGGCGATGATGGGCGAGCCCGGAGTGTGAATCTCCTCTTCGATGGGAAGTGGCATACGCGGAGGACGTGTCAAGTAAGACATATCGTTGACGCTGCTGTTCCCAACCAGCGGTGGTTCAACCATGTGGGCAGAGTAATGCGATCTGAGGGAGGAGGATTCTGTCGCGGCGGCAGCAGCTGGGACGTCTACGGGCTTGCTAGGCGCATCGCGGACGACGTTCTTCGATTCTGGGGGCTTCGGCGGCGGGGCGGAGTTACTCGAGTTTGACGAGGGTGAGCCGGTGGTGAAGTTGGAAATCGGGATGGCTTGGAGAGGCCTGGGACCCTTTGTGGCCGTGGAACCTTGAGCCTGGGTAAGGGAAGGTTCAGGCGGGGCAGCAACTCGCTCGGCAGACCGGGGCGGGATGATGTGTTTGGACTCTCTCTTGTGGTGGTGGTGCTTGGGAGAGTCCTGTGATGAGACAGGCGTGGCCGGCTTGGACGAGGACGAGGGGTTGTTTCCCATTTTGTGTCGTTTCTTCTTTCAGATCCGCCCGTAGGGTAGGTATGGTGGGACACGACAGCGTGGTCTCGCTGCGTCCTGGGGGTTAGGTGGGCAGGCAGTCCGCAGTCCGCAGTCCTGGAGCCTGGCCAGACCAACCTAAGGTAAGTCCTGGATCTCTTTTTTTTCAGGGTAAGCGGCGAGGCCGGGCGGACACACGGCAGGCGATGCGGGTTGCGGGATGGGTTACGGCAGCGATGCAGTGGAAAGCGCGAGGGCAGCGCTGCCCAGAAGAGCGCAATGCAGCGATACGGCGGGCAGTCACAATCGGGGGGTCGTCGGGACCCAATGTTTCCACGTCGGGCCAAGGTATCCGTAGCTGCTGCGACTGGAGTTTGTGCGATCCAGGTTAGGTAAGGCGTGGATTGCACGACGATACCTATGTAGCAAAGACGCGGGGTTGCGACTTAATTATCGCATTCTCGAAAGATTGAGTCAAGGCGGGTCGATGGCGACGACGGCGGGGGTCGGGGGTTGTTGAGCTCTGCAAGAAAAAGAATGAAGCGGAGATTCGCTGGTGATGGGGCGAGGATGTGCAGAATGAACACGGCAGGTTCGCTGCTTCGAAGATTGGATGAGAGGTTGAGTTAGGTAGTTCAATGCCAGGCGAAGTTGAGAGAGTGTGGAGGGGTGGTGGTGGTGGTGCGTTCCCACTTGGATTTGGGGGGTTCCAATCTAGTCGAAGCCAGATAAGCTCTACATGATTGGTACTCCATATCCCATATTGCGGACCATGGGGAACCAAGTACCGGCGGGCCTCCGCTTAGCCCATCACTGTACGAAGTACAACTCGCAGGCTGACCTGACCTGTCACCCTACCGGGCGGCCTTACCGTCATCTCTACAGTAGCTGGATTTCGGCTTACCTGTCAAATGACCTCTAGCGTGTAGTGGCATTCTATTGTCCGTCTTTTATTTGGCCCTTCATTGTAAAGTCAGGCTCTCCGTACTTCTCAGAAATCATGAGCCAAATCATCACAAAATGGGAATGATAAGGATGGCGTGTGCCTCGTCGGCACCTCCAGCTGGTCAGTGCGCGCAGGCTTAAATTGCATCCTCCTCCCCTCGGCCTGATGAATCCAAGCTCCGTACCTCTGAAAGCGGCCGTCCGACTATCTTTCCTTGCCTGCTCGCCAATGCTGACCTGAAGGAGCCGGTGCTTCCTTCCAAATTCGGGCTGAAGCTTAACCCAACTTTTGTTGCAGGTACCTTACCAACCCAACACAACTCTCTGCCGTTCTCACAACTGGCCCACGCACCGTGGCACATCAACATCAACCCCCGAATTTCTGAACGAAAAGGCTGGCTGGAATGTGACCGGCCTCACATCGCGGAGTAAACACCCGTGTCACGAACCCACCGCCATTCGATTTTAAGCTTCATCTCTCCTCAGTCAACTCTTACCTCCACTCTTTCAACAACCTCACAGGCCATCGTAATCTTACCAAATTGCCATGCCGGGAGATCAAAAAGTGATACTCTTCTCTTCAGGTATAGCTTACACTGAGCTACCCCTGTAACGCTACGTCAATCGAAGTACCACAATCACGAGGCCTTCTCTTCACACCTCACATCATGGCACTGCTGTCATACGCCTCTGGCGTGTTTACCATCGCGACATGGCCTGCAAGAATAGTTTGGAAGCCTGTGGCATTCTTCATCAACGTGATCCTCATACTACTATCGCCCCTATTACTCATGGCAACATTTGTATTGGGATGGTGCCAATCTGTCATCGACTTCATAGCTAGTCTCCAGGTAAGCAGACCCTCCTCCATCCTCCCTTGAAACGCATGTGATTGACGGCATCGCTAACTTGCATAACACAGCCCCTTTATACCTTTGTGAGATCTCTGCCTTACCTACCCAAATATTAGACTGCTGATATATTAACCTTTCCCTTAGTTGGCCTGCGGTGCGTGCATCGGCATCTTGGCTGGCCTGACTATGGCTTGCACATCCGGCATCATCACCTCTGTCCTCGGCATGCATGATGAGAGGTCTAGTTCTTTCTCAACAACACCAATGCCGGGAACACCATTGTCAGAGCGGCCCGGGACTGGTAAAACAGAAGACTCATCATCCTACGAGACTGATTGGCAGTTGCTGAACAAGCCGCCCCCAAAGAGACGGAGGCGAACTCCCGGGCTTTGGTCGCAAACGATTCATGAGGAGGACGACGATGATTCAGAGATTTGACTTTGTAATTCGGCCTTTCTTCATATAAACCACTACTGCTGGGAAGGGAAGCATTCATTACCGGGGAATCAATTGTATACCAGCCTTGCTTGGAATTATGCTCCCACCCCCAAACGCCTGTCCCAGTGCTTCGCCGAGCTGTCCTGCCATTCGATATTATACTGTCTTTTGTACAGGCCGCAATCTCATCTGCGGTACGCCTCCCGTTCCCGCATGGGAGAGCGGCTACGGCTGCGCGTCCGGCGATCCCAGTCTCGCTCGTGCCATCGCTCATCTCTACTATTGCGGCGTCGGTCGCGAGGAGGCCGGTCGTCTCTATGTCGTGGAGGAACATCGTCTCTGTAGCTCGGGATATACGTGTCTACGTCAGGACCTCTTCCTCCTCGACTTCTCGGCCTCCTATCTCTGTCTCTGTCCCGGTAGTCATCGCGGGGTGGCATAGGGCCGCCGTTAGCATACTCGGGTGGGGGCGGTCGCGGAGGTAAGCCTCTGTTGTCGCGCTGCCAAGCTGGTCGGCGTTCATCGCCGCCGTTCCTGTGACCTCCGGGTACATTGGCATTCCGACCGTTTACGCCATTGCGGTTGCTGTAAGCATCGGTATTGTTGAAACCGGCATTCGCGCCGTGCGCCTCGGGGCCCATGCCCACCGTGCCTCCCTTGGGCGCTGGTGGGAGTTTTGCCTGACGATCGTGGAACTTTCGCCTGTCTAGTTCGTGACTGTCCTCGAAGGTGGGTAGGTCTCCAGGTTCAGCTGGCATGGGAGCCATTTTGAAGTATGGATGGTTGAGCGCATCGGCGGCGTTTATGCGACTTTTCCAGTCGAGTCTGAGAAGCTCCTTAAGCAAAGAGACTGCTCCGGTTCCGTACTCTCTGAACTTGTTGGTAATGCTACCAGGCCGAGGGCGTGGGGTCACTGCTTCAGCACCAGGAAGAGTGTTGAAAAGGGGCATGTTTTCCGGCGTGGGCGACCCCATCAGATCCCAAATTATGTCGAGCTGGTGTGTATCGCTCTCACCAGCTAGAATCGGCTTTCCAACAAGCATTTCGCCAAAGACACAGCTGACAAATCATTAGTGCCGGGTGCCAAAGATGCGCCGATTCTGACACTTACCCAACACCCCAAACGTCAATAGCGGTTGTGTATCTTTTCAGGTGAAGCAGCAATTCCGGGGGTCTGTACCACCGAGTGACGACAAGGCCGGTGTATTCCCTTTTCCCCTCTCCTGCCCCATGTCCAGGCTTGGGCGTGGGCCCTTCGTAGTGTCTTGCCAGACCGAAATCGGCAATCTGGAGGATGCCTTTGTTGTTGATGAGAAGATTGGCAGCCTTCATGTCTCGATGTAGGATATGTTGGTCGTGCAGATATCGCAATCCCTCGAGGAGCTGCAGCATGTAACATTTGATCTGCGGTTCGGTGAAATGAACGGAAGGGTTGTCGAGAAGGCCCGACAAATCGTGATCCATGTACGGGGTTGCCATGTACATAATTGGGCGCTTGCGCTTGTCGCCTGTCACAATTCGGGTCAGGAATTGCTGCTGGCGAATTGGGTAGTTGAGCATGAGCGACTTACTGGCTCTCTGAGGGTGCTCCACAGCCATGTCCACCAGCTGCAGGACATTTTTGTGAGAGAGCAGTTTCAGAAGTTTGATTTCTCGCAATGCCGTGATGGGGAACTGTCGAACATCGGTAAGTAGATGCGCTGACTATCTGGCAACGGGGATCAAACGTACGCCATCCTTTTCGTGGTGCATGATGATCTTTTTGACGGCGACATGAGCGTTGGTCTTGCGAGATCTCGCATGGTGAACTTCACTGCGGAGCACATCAGTAACACGACCAGGAAGTGAGGTCTGGAAGAGGACTAACCCGAAAGTACCCTCACCCAACTTCCCGAGGAGTTCGTAGTCGGAGATTCGTGAACATCCCTGGAAACTGGCCCGAGGACGCTGGTGCTGCATCGCAAAAGCCCGAGGCGACAAGCCTCCGTTGGGCGCACTGGAATCCATGATGGATGCGAAGCGCCGCGAGATGCGCCTGTCGCGTGAAAGACTGGCTTGCTCAATCGGACGTTCTGGTGACAGATGGGGTCAAGGGCGAACGACAACTAAACAGGTCGCATTGCTAGCGGTGGCCAGGTTTTCGCGGGGATAATCGTAGCCGACATATACTGATGCTAGAGTTAAGTATTTTCCGTCGATAGCAAAGAGCTTCTGTAGTTGTTAGATTTCACCTGCCCAGATGGCTGAGGATGGGTTGGTGTTTGGGCGGTGTCTGTGGCAGAATCTCAATCAAGTTCCAGATTGGCGATGATGGAACTCAGGTCGCGGAAAATCCCTGGTCCTGCATTGTGGGTCCTGCCGAGCGTGTCGGCCGTGTCCAACCTAGGTACCTAAGGTACGGAGTACCATGGACGAGAAAAAAGGAACGTAGGTACCTGAGCATTCGGTTGAAAAAAGGTGGCAGGTTCATTTTGGCCTAGTCCACGCACGTGCGTCATCGTCCGAAGGTAACGGGAAGTTCTGCAAGCAAACTTGTCGCATTTTTTTAGGCTGATCTCAATTCGCCATCAAGCAAATGCCAGATCTAATTCCATCCTGGGCCGAACTTGGCACAACAAGAAATATCGACAACAACCGCAGAACTCTGATCAGCCTCTGCCTGAGTACGAATAGGCACTCTGCGCTCCCACACGAATTTCGCAGTGGTCAGCGACTCACACCCTCGTCGAGTCTAGCCAGCCATGCCTGGTTCCTTGAAATGGTCACGCCGCTGTCGTGGCCGTTCTGTTACTTAATTATTACCCCTCCAAAACTCTGCCCGCCATCCGCTATCGGCTTTTGTCCCATCAACTCTGCCCCGCGATACTTGGCTCTACTCGGGTTTTCGCCCAAGGTTTGCGACAACTTTTTGGCTTATCGCGATAAGACATACCGTCAAGTGCGAGGGGCAATGTCTGGTCTTTGCCCGCATTCCCTTGTCCCTCCTTATCTAAGGCTTCGGCAAGCAGCCAAACCCAATGTCAGCCAGCTCTTGTTAGGTTCATCCAGGCTGTTGCCGTATACCGGACACCAAGGGCTCTTCTGACTGCCTTTAAATTGTTGATGTATGCCACAAATGACTTGATTGACTCGCCATCCGTCTCCACTCGCTTGCTTTCATCATCCATCACTGCCCGCTCGTCACAGTCTCTCACAGTCTCCTCCATCCGACAAAATTTACAAAATTTTACACCACCCGTGCGTGACACTGGCCAACTGTTTTCGCCTCGCTCTCCATACAAAAGCTCTTGCCCCTCCATTACCCCGTGCCCCTCAATTTACTATACCCATCTGTGGAGGCTTCAGTACGTGATAAAGTCTGGACCTGGACGACACCCAACTTTCCCTCACTCATTGCTGTTCGCTACGTAACACAACTCGAACTCGGCATCACCGATACACCGACATAATGGCTTTCGAACCTACCGCCGAGAGACTCCTGCCGGCGTCCAACTACCCGGAGTCTCGAGTCCTCATTATCATGACGGGCGGAACCATCTGCATGCAGCCTACCGCCGATGGACTCCAGCCCATTGGAGGTTTCTTGAAGGATGCCATGGCTCCGCGGCCCTCATTCAACGACAAGTCCTCCCCTCCTGGTAGGTTTTTCTGAAAGACAGCACGTCCCAAGGAAATACGAAAGTCAAGAAATGAGTACTTGTCTGCCTTCTTCGCATGTTGAAAATCCTGGTCCGTTCTCACAAAGACTTCTTGTAAATGTTGACGACATATTTCCCCGAGCCGCGGCTGGACTGGAGCACCAATTGCCAAAAATAACTAGTATCTGTAATGAGTCTTACTGACGATGCGTAGTCCAACTTGAGGCCGTCAAAGATGGGAAAAGAATCATGATCGACAGTTTGAGAACACCACCGAGTGCTTACTCCCGTCACATTCGCTACGGTGTGCTGGAATTCAACCCTCTGCTGGACTCTAGCTCCATCTCAGCGGAAGGCTGGACGGAAATTGCCCAGACCATCAGGGAAAACTACCGCCTTTTTGACGGATTCGTCGTCTTGCACGGAACCGACTCTCTTTCGTACACGGCATCGGCTCTGTCATTCATGCTCTCTGATCTGGGAAAGCCGGTCATCCTCACCGGTTCCCAGGCCTCCATTTTTGCTCTCCAGTCCGACGCCGTCGACAATCTCCTCGGTTCGCTCATCATCGCAGGAACCTTTGTCATCCCCGAAGTCGGTCTTTTCTTCCATCACAAGCTGTTCCGCGGCAACAGAACCAGCAAGGTCTCATCTGCCGCTTTCGAGGCCTTTGCTAGCCCCAACTGCGAGCCACTGGCCAAGGTGAACGGACTTGGTATTGACGTGAACTGGCCCATTGTGTTGAGGCCCACTAGAATCGCCGAGCTCCAGGTCACGAAGCACCTCGACACAGCTCACGTTGCCTGTCTTCGAGTGTTCCCTGGCATCAGGCCAGAGATGCTCGATTCGGTCCTGCGTGTCCCCGATCTACGTGGCCTCATCCTCGAGACTTTCGGAATGGGTAACGCCCCCAGTGGTATCGACGGCAGCTTGACCAAGGTCATCAAGGCCGCCGTGGACCGCGGTGTCATCGTCGTCAACGTCAGTCAGTGCATGAGCGGCTTTGTCTCTCCCGTCTACGGTCCTGGAACCGAACTCGGCCGCGCCGGCGTCATCTTCGGTCTCGATCTCACAGCAGAGGCCGCCCTCACCAAGCTGTCCTACCTTCTCGCCATCCCCAGCCTTTCCACCGCCCAGGTCAGCGCGAGAATGTCTCAGTCTCTGCGTGGCGAGATGACGGAAATGGCTCTTCCGGTATTTTCGCATCCATCTGGCTCACTCGACTCGGTCGTAGCGCGACTAACCGCGTCAGAATCGGCATTTACCGTCCTCGGTTACGCCATACGAAATGGCGATGTCCGGACGGTGAAGGAGATCCTAGACAACGACGCCCAGCACGAGCTCCTCAAGGCCGCTGACTACGCGGGCAACACGACTGTCCACCTGGCCGCCGTCGGGCCCAACATTGACATCCTGCGCGAAGTGCTGACGAGGGGCGCCAGCGTGCACTCGAGGAATCTGGCCAACAACACGCCGCTCTACCTCGCCGAAAAGATGGGCAAGGAGAAGTGCGTGCAGTTGCTCAAGGAGACGGGTGCGCATTTGTGGTCGGAAGAGGAGGCTATCTTGGATTCTGTTCACGCATCTGCATCTGGAGGAGTTCAAAAGTAGGAAAACTAGAAAAGTCTGGATTTTGGTTTCGTGTCGCATGTTTGAAGGCGTTTCTTGGGGCAGTGTTATTTAGAGGTCATATCTCAATGATAATGAAGCAAATCAGTGATGATTTAAAGAGGGGACAGGTGCTTACTACTTTGGAAAGTTTCATTCTGATTAAGTCTATGACGTTTATTTAGGCTTGTACAATGTCTATTGCTTCTCGTCTGCAAACTGAATTTGCTACTATTGCACTATGCAATTGAATTGGATGAATTTCCCTTACAGCGAGCGAGCTGCTTAGATACCTGTGATGGGTTGTTCCGCATGATAAAGAAATCTGGTTGTCAACCTCGGAGATATTCCTCACATCCCTCGCGGTCATCTTGATGAGTCTAAAGATCCTGGATTCAATCGGCTCCCGCTATCCTTGCCGAGAACTCGTCACTGAACCTTGCTTCGAATTACATTTTCTCGCCAGATTATCTGTTTCTAATGACCACTGCTTGAGATTCACTTCAAAGGCTTAATCACTAAGGTAGGAGTGCTCATGATGGCTAGGTGCAAGCATTCGACTCAGGTGGTTTGTGTCCCGGAGCCCCGGGTCGGCCCCACCTCGATTTTCGGCGCCGGGGCCTAGCGCGGTTCTTAAAATTTGGGAGATTTCTCTTTCGCACCTGCTGCACCAGACAGCTTCATCAATCGTCATTGACTTGAACACTCAGCATCACCCACCCACATTGCGACACCAGTCTCCGTCCCGAACTGGAAAACCACCTACGAATACAGCTTCGACGCAAACGAAACCACGAGAAGACTTGCTCAGCCGCCGAACCCGAGCAGCTTCTGACCTCCAAGCCCGACAAGACCTCCATCGCGGAAGAACATTACAACCACATACACACACACACACAAAATGTCTTCAGCCTCTACACAACCAACGGGCCAAGCCCCGACCCCGACCCCCAAGATCATCACCAACGCAGCCTGGGCAGGCGTAGTCCTCTGCCCCCTAATCATGCTCATGCCCCCCCGCCGAATCGACTGGCGCACCTTCATGCTCTGGACCGGCTTCTCCGCCTCGGGCAACCAGCTCATCTACGACTACAGCGGCCAGTCCCTCTTCCAGCGCATGCAGTCCCGCCTCGGTCGCATGTTCCCCACGACGCTTCCCGAGCAGGCGCAGCGCACCAAGCAGCTCCTGCGCGAGGAGCGGATGCGCCGCGAGGGCCTGACGGAGGAGCAGATGCGCGCCATCGAGTTCAAGAAGCGGAACCTCGCGCAGAGGCTGTGGTACGGCAGCGAGCCCGAGGACTGGGAGGCCAAGAGGGCTGCTGAGCACGCGAAGGCGCTTGCCGAGGGCAAGGGTTTGGGCGATTTGATTGCCGAGCAGGTTTCTGAGGTTTGGAGCGGCGCGAAGAAGGAGGAGGCAGAGGAGAGTCAGAAGAACGATAGTGAGAAGAAGCAATAACTGAGGGGGAGTTGTCGATGAGAGGTGACGGCCAGTGTAGGATACCAAGAACGAACAAGTAATGGATTTGGAGGGGAAATCGTCCGACTCAAGTCCAGGTACACACTGTGGCTAGTAGGGAGTCTAGCAAAAAAGGCGTTGAAGGTTTGCAGTTTGGAGCATTGATGGGTTGGTGACAATCTCCCCTGGCTGTACATTACTATTATTGAGCACCATCACACCAGTAAGGTCCGCGCTTTGCGATCTGTGACGTGTAAGGATATGCCGCCATCTTGCGAAGTATGGCCGGTATGCCGTTATTTGAG